AAGCCGGGCGGCGGGGTGGGCTCGATCCAATGGTTCGGCGTCGTGCACCACGACGGAAGCGTGCGCTTCCAAACGTCGATCTTGTACGCCGGGCTGTCGCCTTGAGTGCGACGGTCGTCCTCGTCGTTGCGCACGTACGGGACCACGTTCGGTTGGGATAGCTTTGGGAGGATTTCAGCCACGGAAAGCCTGCCGGAATCGGCGAAGGAGAGTTTGTCCGAGCCGAGGAGCGCGTCGAAACTGATGGTGGGCAGGAAGGGGTGGCGGTGCTTCTTGTTCACCTGCACGCGAAAGCGCTGGAAAACGTGTTGAAAGGGCTCAGTGGGAGCGCACTGGACATCTTCGGCGGGCCATACTTCGACCAGGTGGCGCGCCTTGTGGGCGTGGGCGAGAGAGACGTCTTGGAAGTGGAGGGTGAGGGTGTCGGGTACATCGGGCATGGGTGCGGTCTTCCACCAACGGTCTTCCACCTCTTGTATTTGGGCGTCCCGGATCTGACTTGAAGCCGTGTCGAGAGCCTTCGCCACAATGTCCTGTAGTGCGCGGTCTTCTCGTCGGCCGTTGGCGCATGTTCTCATCTCGTTTGAGAGCGCACGCCCCCCCTGTCGAAAGTCATAAGTACCGAGAATATCGAGGGAAAACCAAGGGGGCAGAGAATGATCAACAGGCCACTCACGTCACTACGCTCAAGAGCAGATGTCCAGTGAACTTCGTCCAGAATGCGTCGCAATGCTCTCGCGATGGCCTAAACACGGCAGGCATGGCTGAGCACACGAGGAGAAATAAGAACCAAAGGAGTGCTACGTACCTCTGATTGGCCACTGGCAGCAGCGTTTCGCAGTTCTTCGGCCAAATGTAGTGCAAGCGAATGAGTGTCGTCCTCGGACGACACATCGGAGGGCAATTTAGTGCACGTCGAGGGTCGGGACAGCGGAGACAGTCGGGCTATAAGCGCTAGAGCACCACGCAGGTCTCACGATGGCGTCCATAGCTTCGAAGGCTCGTTGTTGGAAGGTTCCCACTTCTTCATGTCCGCGATAGGATCGTGGCCATCCTCCCATTCCTTCGTGGCCATCTGGATCCGGTGCGCTAGCTTGCGGAAGCAGCGGAAAACGATCCAAGGGTATAGAGTGGACGGTTTGATGTTGAGCTTCTCCTTGTTCGTGAAGACGGCGAGGAGATCCTCCGCGTGCCTCTGGATGCCCGGTGCAGAGCTGGCGGCGCGACGGTGAGGATCGAATGTGCGATGTCAGTCAGACCGGACGTGCTCACTTTGGTGGATCAGTCAGATCGACGGACTGGAGACTGCTGGGATTCAGCGTGACGATGTCGAAGGGCTTCGTACCAGGCGGTGGTTGGATGTCGTCGTCGTCCCTGGGGACGCGACACGACGTAGCTTGAGACGTGCCAGAGTTGGAGGAAATTACGATCGCCACCTCGGTCGAGTGGGCGCGAACGGCTCCCGTGACGGCGAGTCCCGTAAAAGAGGAATCCCCGAGATCAAACAGGTTGGCGAGATGCACGAATGGCTCGATCGCACCAGAGTTTTTTCTCGTTCCCGTGGGGGCAGCCTTGTCGACGCAGAACCCATGGACGAAGGAGGTCAGAAAGCGGATGGAGTGGACGTGGCCCGAGCGGCGGCTGTCCTGTTTCGAAGGAGATGGGTCCTCCTGGCGCGAAACTGTGATTAGCAGACGTCGCTGGCGGCGACATGGTACATCGATTCTCTCACCATGCTGAGAGTCACAAGAAAAATCTAGGGAGTATCTTGGAGGAGCATATGAGAACGATAGGCTAGAGTGCGCGCTCGCGGTTGTGACGGTGCCATGAGTGCAATTTCAGTCAGAATGCTCGACAGCGGCCCCGGCGCACGGACCCCCGTGCCGCCGGCCTCCTCCCAACAGTGCTACTCTTCACACTGAGACGCACAGTACGTGTAACGTCGTGCTCGGTCTTATCCACACACAACGGAAACAAGTTCCAAATCAAACACATTGCATTGCTATCGATACAGATACCGCGGGTCGTACAACAACCGCAGAGCCCATCTTCGTCAACGAAGACGGCCGTGCCCGCGCGCACTCCTACAGCAAACAGACAGGAGAAAAGAAAAGAAAGCAGAACGACATGGGACGGATGAGCATGAAAGCTCATGCACCGGTCAACCCGCCCTGCGCGCCCGTCGCCGCGATGCGCGCGGTGGCATCGGCCTCAGTCGTGCACGCGATGCTCGTGCCGGCCTTGTTGACGAGCGGGAGCGCGGCGCAGGTCGTGCCGCCGGCGCACTGGGTGACTGCGAACTTGCCGCCGACGCACTGGGCGAAGCCGCCGTCGACGCAGGCCTGGTCGCCCTCTGCAGATACGGACTCGTCAGCGACTCGACGTCAAAGAAGAAGGAACGAACCTTGGCAGGTGCTGTCGGCGGTGAGCGCGGCGAACTTCTTGTTGAGGGCCTGCGCGTCTTGGCCGTTCTGGAGCTGGAAGGAGGAGGAGCTGGAGGAGGCGCTGGAGGAGGCGCTGGAGGAGGCGCTGGAGGATGAGCTGGGAGTGGCCGTTGAGCTGGCGGCGGCGGTGGTGGTGACGGAGGCCGAACCAGAGTCGGTTGTGGAGGGGTCGTCGGAGCCGTCGTCCACCCCGGAGTCGTCACCATCATCACAGCCAGTGGTGCTAGCGCCGTCAGAGGGAGACGTGGACGTGGAGGAAGAGTCGGAAGAGTCGGTGGAGTCGGTGGAACCTGAGGTGTCGGAGGCATCGGTGGCGGTGGATGCGGGGGCAGACGCGGTGGCAGTTGCACTTGAGTCCGAAGGAAAGGTCGAGTTGGACGAGCCGGAGCCCGACGAGGAGACCTGGCCGGGCGAATCCACCTGGTCCACGAGCTGCGACCCGTCCGCGATGGGCCCGTCGGGGTGTGCAGGGCACGACCCCGCAGGACTCAGTGCCGCGCTCATCCCGAACGGAATGGTACCGGCGCCACCGACCTGCACGCCGCCCACGAAGGTGGTCGCGTCCGCGCCTTGGAACTGGCATTGGAAAAGGCCGTTGAGCTCGGCGTTCTTGGGCGCGGATTGGCAGTAGGGCACGCTTTGGGAGGTAGGCTAAGAAAAGACGAGGATAAATCAGTAGGTGCTCGAAGTGAGAAGCTGCGCGAGGGTGATGGGAAACGCGAGGGGGGTGGTTGGATTCCGCTGCTCGCTCGCGACTGCGCCCACACCCATTCCAGCCAAACTCCCTCATCCATCGTCAACAGATCCCGCCCTTGCCTCCCACCGCTTTGGCGGGTCCATTCCATCCCCTCCCCCTGGAGCCGCTTCCCATCACCGCTCGATCGAAAAAAGATCGCTCACCGTGTTCCGTGGCTGTTGCGCGAAGATCTGCGCAAGCTTGATCATGTCGGGGTCGTTGTTGAGTTGCTTGGCGAGGTCAATCATCTGATCCGCGCTGTTCTGTTGGGCGCACGCGTCGGCGGCGGCGAGGAGGGTTCCGATCGCGTTCACGGCGATGGTGTTGCATTGGTCGCCGCCGCCCGCGGTGTCCTGTCGAATGCGCCGACCGTATCAGTCATCTATCCCGGAAAGAAAGGAGGCGACGCACGCATGCGGCTTCCCATTTGGTCTTGGCGTCGACGGTATTCTGCGCGATGCGCTTGGAGTGGGCGAGGGGCGCTGCTTGGGCGGAGGAGAAAAGGCCGAGGGCGAGGAGGATGGCAGTGAAGGCGATCATGGTGATGCGTTGAGTGGGGCGAATGAGGGATGCTAGGGTGGGTGAAGGACAGTTATGAGTCGATTGAAGGGGCGAGCGCAGCTCGAAGAGTCAAGGGAGCGTTAGGCAAGGACGAGGAACTGGAGATATAGTGTTGAGAGACAGGGCTCGATTCGTGGGTTGGACTTGGGAGAGCCCGACATCGTTTGCAGACAGCCTCTTATAGTCCATGCGATGGGTGGAGCGGGCCACATAAGTGGTGCCTCCGAGTCGTAGAGACAAAGACGGGTTGCAGAGAAAAGAGACAAAGGGTCGAAGACAAAAGATCTCCGCACCGAACACTCGTGGCCCGGAATGGCGTGGCAACCGACGGACAGCGGCTCAATGATGTTATGTTCTTTGGCGTGAGGAAGAGCACCGTGCGCAGAGGTCGTTCTTCCACCACGATAAAAGGTGGCATTGTGGCAATAGAAGGAGGTGGACGAAGAGCGGTGCCCTGGTCTTTTCAATTTTGTGAGTTGCGATCGACTAAGAGACACAGAAGATCTACGAGGTATAGGTTACGCACATCCGCATCATTGGGAGCGGCAGCGTCCGCTGGACACCAATTCATAGATGAAAAACGGGAGACGCGTGTCAGAAGGTCAAGGTGGAAAGGCGAAAAGGTGGAAAGGTGGAAAGGAGTAGTGTTGCACAAATACAAATAAATATCTTGAGGAGCCATATTATAATGGATACCACATTTACTTTGTATTTACTCCCACATTTCCTGCCTCTAAATCGCTCCAAATCAGGTCTATTCTTGGACATGTAATCGATGATATGACAGTACATGATTGTATATCAGTGCTTCTGAAGTGTTATATGTATACAAGTTCTCATTAAAGCCTCCCCAAGCTTGTTAACATGCTTTGGAAAATGCTGAGATGACTGGGAGATGGCTGTCCACAGTGTAAACATGAGAAAGTTGATGTCAATGTTATGTCTGCTGACTCTATTGGGGAAATTGACCTTAGAGAACAGATGTATAGCCGATTGACTCCTTGTAAGCTGTGATCCAGCTGCAATGACCCAGGAGTAGATATATTATATTATGTAGCCCATATCTAATCATATCTTGTAATTACGATTATGGGCAGCCATCTATTTAATGGTATTTTTGCATATTATTATGATTATATTTGAATATACTCTATAGTTTGTTCAACACTAGAAAGGAGTGCTCGAGAAGTTAGAACTGAGAGGACCGGAGCCTCGGAGTCTCGGACTCCGGGAAGCCAAACTTTTAAAAAGGGTCAAAAGGGCTCAACCGGGAATTGAACCCGGGACCTCCTGCATATTACACGCGACGCGCATGAGTTCTCACCCGAAGCAGGAATCATACTACTAGACCATTGAGCCGATGGCAGGCAAGCCCCACTTGATACCGATAATCCTGCAAGAATTGGGCCCGTACCCAGCTCCTCAAAACACAGTTTCTCGCACAGTGGTTCAGATACGAAATGTATTTATGTATGTACATTGATGAAACAGAAGCGGGTGAGAAGACAGAGCACGTGGGACGCGTTGTTACTTGTTTGGGTGTATTTGGCGGGAGGCGGGCGCGGCCGCGACGGCGGGGAGGACTTGTTGAATACCGACGGTTCACGTTCATCTACTCATCTTCTTTCCCTTCGTCCCGCCCGCATCCCCGTCGCTGGTCGACATCGAGTCCGCCGCCGTCGACGTTGCATTGGCAAGAGGTCATCGCTATGTACGCCATTCTTTACTGCTTCCTCGCCCACCTCGCCTTCGCTCGCGCGCTCTCCGTCGGCTTTCCCCTCGAAGACCAGCTCCCGCCCATCGCCCGCGTCAACTCCCCGTTCTCCTGGTCGTTCTCCCCGGATACTTTCGTTTCTGCTGCCCCGCTCGCCTACACCGCCTCCTCTCTGCCACCTTGGCTCGCCTTCGACCCCTCCTCTCGCACCCTCCATGGCACACCCGCAGCTCAGGACGAAGGCACCCCCAGGATCAAGATCACCGCCCAGGATCCTGACTCTGATACCGCCTCCTCTTGGGTCACCCTTTGCGCAACGCCCTATCCTCCCCCCATCCTCAGCACGGCCGTCAACGACCAGTTCAAACCGGACAATCCCTCGCTCTCCTCCGTCTTCCTCCTCGCTCCCAACTCGGCTCTGGCCACGGACAACCCTTCCCTTCGCGTGCCCTCCAACTGGTCCTTCAGCATCGGCTTCGATTACGACACGTTCGCGGGCCCCAAGAACGTGTACTACGACGCGCTTCAGGCCGACGGCTCTCCGTTACCGCCCTGGATGTACTTCGACACCAAGGAGATCACCCTCAACGGCGTCGTACCTCATCCGAACGATCTTGTGACCCCGCACACCTTTGCTTTGTCTTTGCGCGCATCTGGCCAGCGAGGATACACCGAAGCCGCTCTCCCGTTCAACGTCATCGTCGCCGCCCACGAGCTATCTCTGGCCACAGGGTCTCTTCCCACTATCAACATCACCTCCGAATCCGACTTCGACGTGGAGCTCAACTCGCCTTTCGACTTCGAAGGCGTTCTCGTGGATGGAAAAAATATCAACGCCTCCGACATCGTCTCTCTGTCCGTCGACACCTCAACCTACTCCAACTGGCTCTCCTACGACCCAACCGCCCGTCGACTCAGCGGAAAAGCATCCGGCTCTCCCTCCAACGCAAGCGCATCCCTCCCCGCGACGCTCACCACAAATTTCAACCAAACTTTACACACAACCCTCCGCCTCGCCGCCGTACCCCCCTTCTTCACCCAGCCCAACCTCGACCCCATCCTTCAGAGCCCCGGCGACGACGTCAGCTTCAGCCTTGGCCGCTACCTCTCGAACCAAACCAGCCTGGCCGACGTCAACCTCACCACCACCACCGACCCCGCCGAGGCCGGACAGTACCTTCACTTCGACGCCGGCGCCACCGTCCTGTCGGGCACGATCCCCAAGGACGTGTCGGGATACAGCCACATCACGATCTCCTTCACGGCCTACTCCCGCATCACACACTCCACTTCGCACGCGAGCCTGCCGATCTCGCTGACCCCGGCCGATTTCAAAGATTCGCAGCCAAC